GTCAAAAAAGCCGTGCAGACAAAGCTCAATCAGGACAACTTCCTCTTGGTTTCTGGAGCAGCGGGGGCCGGACCTTACTGCACTTTCACAGATAAAGTAAGCTGACCCAGACTAAGTCCTTCCACTTTGTCCATATATCTGCTTGTCGTAGGCTCACTTTACATTCGATCAGAGTCGTATTTTTGCCCCCCCCCGCGCAACTACATCGTGACAGAACATGTCCTAACATGTTGCAACTGTGTCCGAGATGAATGAAAAGAGGCTTAAATCTATGCAAACTAGCAGCACGTAATGGTAATGCTACTCTTAGCAATGTGTGGCAAAGGAAGCACTACACACCTGTATTTGTCCAGCGTCAATCTGTGTTCTTTAAACATGACGTGTTAACACGAGCTGTGCAACAACTGTTATCTTGAAGTCGATTTACAGATTTTTCATGGATGTCTGGGTTTGGCTGGGTAAAGACAGAAAATAGTCTCAAAACCACTAAAGCATTTTTAGTCAATCTTTCCACTGAGGCTGTATATTTTTCCTTAAGCATGATCTCTTTGTATATTTGAATAAATGCTGCTTTGGTTTGGATCTGCTTCCGAGTTCCTGCTGTGGAAATATGTTACTGCCACTATCAGGCTTTGCCGTAGAGTTGGCGAAATCCATGTGGCTTTTATTTCACTTTGCAAATACAGTACATAGAAATCAGGCCAATGCCCTTTTTTAGTCACACCAGACGACACAGTCTTTGTTTCATTCAACCTCAGACTGATTCATCAAAGCCTGAAACGCTTTTATGAGTCTTTTACTTTTGAATGATGTCTTTCACCAATCTACTAGAAAGACCTGGCAGAGCATGGTGACTTGCACTTCACAGCACCAACATGACCAACAAGTTCACTTAAACTTCTTTAGAAAGAGTCACAGTGTTGGTATTTAAACATTTTTATTATGAGCCTTAAATAAAAACTGCAGTGCTCCTGAAAACTTTCTCTCTGCTCTGCGCATCAAAGCCAGGATTTTGGCTTTCAAGTGAATCTGACAGACATGGACTCAGCTCAGATTTTATGGGGAGTCTATTAAAGAATGATGGAAATCAAAAGGACAAAACTATAGCCGAAGCTCAATTCCACATTTTTAAACTGCACCTTTCCATTAACTGAACTGAAAAAGGTTTTCTTTGTCTTCTCTTTTGGTCCATCAGTCTTCACACAGTATCCATGTCTTAGACTACAACCTTCGTCAAACTCTGACTTCATACATTCAAAGTTTAAATGTATATTATAAAAGCTGCCAAACCAAAGGTTGGTTTTTGTAGTCAAACCAGATTTTTGAGAAACACATCTGAAACTGATCTGTTTACATCTGGTGTTTATAGATTTAAACAGTGCTGCACAAAATACCCCTTATTTCTTTATATTTTGCTTTGAAGGCTTTCTTGTAATTTTTAAGTGGTCTTGAGCAACAGTTCTCCAGGCTTTCTGGAGGCCTTTTTAAAGTTTTTCTTTCGACATTGGTGCTTTTTCACAGATTTTCAGTCCAGTCCTTGTACTTGAAGATTTTTTTTTGTTTGTTACATCACTTAACGCTGACCTATGAATCACTCTGTATACATGCAGTATAACAGATAACTGAAAAACATTTTAAAATGGTATCTTCTGTTACTTTGTTACTACCAGCACACTGGAAAAACATAATTTGTTCCCCTTTCTTTAGCTGAATTCACAATAAAATGCCAAAGATAACACAGTGTGACAGGCGTAAAATAGTATTTTGGCACCAAGAAAATGATTCCAAATGAGTCATTTGCTGAAAACTTGGTATAATTCAGGATGTTGCGCAGTTTGTTCTTAAACATTTTTGACAAAACTGGACAACAAGAGGACAAAACAAGAAGCGGCAGAAGTAAAAACAATCTACAGCAGATGAACATGACCGGGAAGTCACGTCTTTAACAAATCCATCAAAGAACCTGACGCGTGACCTCAGAGATGCATCTGGACCTTGAGCAGATCCATCTACGGTTTGCTGAAGCCTCATCAGAAATGGCCTCAGTGGAAGACTGGCTGTCAAGAAACCATTCTTAAGGAAGGTAAACGGAGAGGAGAGGCTATGTTACACAAGAAATGGACTGAAAAATCAGTGGCAACAGGTCTGATGGAGTGATGAATCCAAATTTGAAAGCTCTGGTTCAAACTGTCAATATGTAGAGAGGGGGCCAGGACACAGGTACAACAGTGACTATTTACAGTACTTTTTTGCATGTTTGCGCATTTTAATAGATTGCTGCCCCGCCGCACTTTCATTGCAAAATATCAAGAAATTAGGGGTAGCTCAAGATTTTTGCACAGTACTGTACATACAGTATAAAAGAGTTGTATAGAAATAGGAACAAATAATGGAGTTATTGTCTATTAACTTTGCAGCACTGCACTTCACAAAATAGATTGCGATTCACTATGAAGACAATTTGACTTTGCACTGTCTGCTCAGCTGTGACGCTACTCTGCAACATGTGCTGCAGGACTCACTGCAGAGTAGGGCTGTGCGATATGACCAAAATATCATATCCCGATAGAAGACATCTACTGTCCCGATAACGATATAAATCACAAAAATTTAACATTTTCTGTAAATTCTGTGAACCTCTGGCAGCTCGACTTGTGTGAAGTGTTTCCAGCTGGGCGTCGTGTACCTGGAGTCAAGTGTTTTAACCGATGCATGAAACGATACATTTTAGACATAAGTTGTAACGGCCGCCGTTTCTTTGTGAGTATTTATTACAAGGCGTGCTGCGGGGAAAAGCCTGTTCTAACGTTTGAGTCTAAGGTTTATTTTTTAGCACCTGAAGGCTCTTTTTTGCTTTTCATCCATAAATAATCTACATACTCTTTCACGTGATTCAGTTTATTTTGAAAAGTCTCAACAGGATCTTGAGCTTTATTGTGAAAGGTTTATGTGGAAAATAAACAAGCGGACACGTGATGGTTTTACCGTTGTTGTTGCTACGCATAAAAACAGGCGCTTGTCCGTCCTTAGTGTGGTTATATTAAATATAAGAGAAAGAGATAACTTTAAGAAATGAATATAGCCACTACAGTGACCATCAAAACGATGAAAAAATGTTGCTGTAAACAGTTTATTTTGCGACACAACGAAACAAACGATAGCGTAAACTGATCCGATATGTATCGTTATATCGAACAGCCCTACTGTAGAGTATTACTGACACAGGATTCTGAGCAGCTCTGCTGGATAAACTATGTGATTGTCACGACAAGCATCAGTTTCTGCATTATGGTCTGCAAAGGGAAAAGTTGTCTTGTTAGAAACACCTAAGAAAATACCAATAAATCCCTGACAGGCCATTTTGCTCTAGTAGGTTCCCGCCACACTCGGTGCCACTGGGACAACATTGCCTCGATAGCACATGCATGAACACTCGGTGAAAAAAACAGCAGCCATATTATCACAGCTGGTAATCAAGCAATATTAAAAAATATATTAAAAAAACAAGGATTCAAGAGAAACCAATCCTCCCATCTCTCTGTACTCTGTCATCTCTCTCACAGTAATCTTTGAAAGGCCAGCTTTTCCTCAGTGGGCATCTGGAAAGCAGTGAAGCTCCCGTGAATTTAGCATATGATAGCACGGGTTTATGGTCATCGTGGAGCGGACAGCGTGGGGTAAAGGAGGCCGTGATGCTGAACTAATGACCGGCAAAGCCTCCCGTGTGACACTAAGAGGTGACACCATGATGTTAAAAGGAGTGAACATAACTTTCTCATAAGTAAACTGCAGGGGGGGGGGGGGGTCTTAATAATAATACAATCTGCATGAGCAAACTCTGTTGCACATGACATACTCCCATGCAGTTCTCAAAGGTTTTTCAGATTAAATGGGACGCTGTGAAACTCTGCTTAACAGACTTTCTACCTGTTTTTTTTCCTCCTCCCTGACCTTTGTCCTCATTAGTCCCATCAAAATGCAATTAATAACCCAGCACGTTTGTGTCTGGCACCATTCACTGTGGGATTCTGTCCTCTTATCAGCACAGTGGTTTGTTTTGCTAGAGGCACGCCAGCCATATCTGTGGGTGGTTTCCACTTGACAGTTTGACTCTCAGTTTAAGGCTATTCCTGAGCTCCAGGGCACGCCACAGCGATGATGAACTCATCCATCAGGGTGCCGCTCAGGCTCCTTCTCGTGAGTGCACTTCCAATTGATTTGATTTGATGAAGACGGTGGCCTCATTAGATCTAATTTAGCGCATCATCTCAGAGCTCTGCCATCTCTGGATGAAGCTCACCTGCATCCTCGTCGCTTTCTCACCGCCTCAGGAAGGCAGAAAAATCTCTTCGAAACCGAAAACAAAAGGACAGGAAACAAAAAAAAGTAACACACGAAGGACTTTTCAGGACAAGAACACTGAGGTTTCCTCTTTTCAAGAAAAACACCAGCTAAAGTAACCACAGTGAATCACAGAGGACTGGAAAACTGACAGCAGAGAGAGGGGAAGGACACGGGCTATGAATGACTCTACAATCACATATGATGGCACTGACTTTCCAGCAATCAGTCACATCTAAAGACATGCAATTTAGATGTCTTTAGATGCTGTGCTGTGCACTGGAAACGACCACTTAGCAAAAAGCAAACTTCCCCCCTCCCCACTATTTTCTTTTTGTTGCAACAGAAACAGTTTGTTGTGTCTTTAAAACTTTATCGTGTCTCTTTCCTTGTCCAAATCCAAATTCAGCATCATAACAGCCGCACTGAAATCACCTGAAGGCTCTCCAACTAACACTTTCCACTTGCAGGAAGGCCTACCTGTAAATGCACTGCACGTGATTTGTGTTACGAGCACTCACTTAAAAAGAACCCATAATAACATAATTAATATCTCCAAGTTTACTGTACTGTCGTGGAGTTTTATTTCCTATAAATGAGAAATAATAGTAACAAGCGGTGCTCCCAAATAAGGGGGAAAACCCCACAGTGGTTCTTACCTTGTTATCTGTGTGTGTCCATGATCCAGTTGCGGCTGCAGGATTTTTGAAAATGAACTGATTGTGGGCTGTAAGTTATCACAGACACGCGACAGGAAGAGCGGAAAAATCCTAACAGATGCGGAGAAAATCTTCCAAAAACAGTGAGCTGATATCCGGAAACTGCGCTCTGGACTAAGCGCAGAAATAACAACAAGAACAAGCTGCACTCAGGCGCAAAGATATTCTTCTTCTTTCAGAGGTGCATAAATCCAGAGTGGAGTGGACAGAGGGGAATAACCTGCAGTGGCCGATGTGTTTCAGAGTAAAGTTTTTTTTCTTCTTCTTCTTCGCCCTGCGCTTTGCTTGTCTCAACACACACTACGGAGAGGAGCGAGAGAGCCGAGTTTCACCCCGGAGCTGCGCCTCTGATGTCAGCAACAACGTGAGCTCCAGGAAGTGGTGACGCTGTCCGGTGGTGCGTTTCCACGGCAGCGGCTTCAAACCTCAGAGAGTACCGCCACACCGTGGACATCAGGGGCAAATACGTATTTTCCTGTGCTCCTACGCTCTGTGTCGCAAAGTTCAGGTGGACGGAGGTGCTGTGCTATACTGCAAATACTACTATCGATCCAATGCCAAGTAAACACATTTACAGTGATGATAGCAATCTCAATACTTTTAACTTATAAAGGCAGCTGACCTTACATTAATGCTGGGAGATACTGCAAGTTTTTGGTATTGATCTGATACCAACCTAACGTATAAAAGCAGCTTGTGTAGGGGAGGGCAGTGTTTATGACTTGTGAGATTAATCATCATCGATTTGCAAATTGAGACATTTTTAATTACCACTAAAACACTGAATTTTACATAGTTTTTAAATTTTGCCTGTCTCTAAAGCACTGTGGGTCCTCTTCTGTTGCTGTGTGTTGTTGCGCTATAACTGTGACATAATTAAAGCTACATGCTGAACTTAGACGATAGAAACAAAGTATCAATCCTACTGAGTCAGATACCAATACCAGCCTTGGTATTGATTCATACATGTAGTGAGCAATATGGTGGACATAGCAGGTTATGAAGTTGGCATTAGGCATAATCAGATTGGACAAACTTCAACCATCCCAACCAAAGGAAGACGAGCTAAAATCCAAATGTCATTGTTTTTTGGGGGAAGTATTTATGCTTTTTTCCCTCCTGTTTGTTTCCTTTAATTAACTACAGTGTGTGATTTTAATTGTATCCGTATGTCGATACATAGCATGCGGTAGAAAGGACAAAAATCGTGACACAGCTGTTGATGGGTTGAGGATTGCCACTTTAAAGGTTATGCAAGATGAGCAAGCATGAGTCTGATTAGATATATGTCAAATTTTCATATCATGCTGCTCTGTCAGGACTCCACATCTGGTGTGCAGACAGGCCAGCAGTGTTTGTCTCATTGTATCCATACTAAGCTGTTAGAAGTCTTTTTTTCTATCCATCCAGACTTGGAAAACACTGATATTTGGGATGATATGAACTATTTCATATCCAGGTAAAAATCCCACTGAGAATAAAACGCTCATTTTCAAGATCAATCTGGCAAAGGTTTGGTTTTGTTTTTTTTGTTTTTTTGGTGGTGGTGGGGCAGTGATCAGTTCTCCACACATGCCTGCTTCATCAGTGCAGCTGAAGTGTTTCTAACTCCCCTCACTTGATCTCAGTGGGTTGACAGTGCCTGTTGACTGTCATCATAGCTCCATTTGAGCATTTTAAATTGTCAGATAAAGAGCACGAACACTTGCATCTGCAAACACTGTGATACTATTTTACCATTAGCATGAATAATAATCTGTATCTTTTCCCTGCATGTCAGCTAATAGGAGCACACACACATGGCAGCACATTGCTAACTGTATTATAAGTATTACACCTCACTAAATGATCAAATGCTCTACTTAACCACACATCACTGACTATGTTTGCCTCTCATTTGATTGCTGAGCATTTGCATTGTGCATTTCATTTGTATCTTGGGGGGAAAAAGGCTACCTGTGTACCAAAAATTATTTACAATGGGCATAAAAACAAAACCCGGAGGGAGACAATCAGAATGACGAATGCTTAACTGACCTTGGGCCCAGCATCAGATTAGTTCCAAACAGCAGTGTTTTATTGTGATCAGACATGCCCTTGCTCTCTGTAAGACTGCTTCAGTGCAATGAATATCAATTGGACATTTGCATCTCTCTATGGATTTGAGTGCTTGTAGATGCTAAACTGTGCTGCAGATGAACACGGCATGCAGCTGTTATGAACACTCACAGCCTGTGAGTGTGGGGGAGTTCACATGTTTTTTATTTGTTTTGGGGTTTTTTCTAGCATCACCTGAGAGAATTTTGGAGATCAGGAGGGTTCCCCAGAGACAAACCACATACTATACCATTATATACTTGAGTCATATACGCTTACATATAGGTCATAGTATATAACATAACCTTTGTCTATTGGCCATCTGCAGAAATATTAAAATCATACTAATATTCATGTGTCTCATGTGTAAAAAACCATGCAGAATGAATTTTAAACTGATTGCTGAGTATTGAACCTTTGCCTTTACGAGTGCTGGGAAAACCAGTTAGAATAGAGTATATGTTTAATGAACATGTTTACATACTGGCGCTTATCCTTCTAGCTTTTACATTTTGCTAAGTGGTCTCCTAGAAAAATGGAAAAAATGCACATGCAAACTGTGGCTGATATCGATTTGTTGGGAATCAATGAGGCCTCTCTGTCAGTAAGAGGAGCACCTCAGGGAACCCTTAAAATACTGGGAAAGTCTTTTTTTAAAGCAATGTTCAAAGCTTTTCTAGTGTCTTTGGCAGTTTTCTGCTCTGGCTACTGTCTCTTGGGCATTTTGCATGGTTTTTAGGTCCACTGGGACTAAAATGGAGGGTTAGCTGCTGCCTCAAATTTTCCAGACTGCATAAGACATCTAAAAAAAACACAGAAGAGATTTCTTCAGATTCTCTTAATCTTTTGATGATATTATGTTACTGTAGATGATGAGATTTTCAAAATTTTCACAATTTTAAGTTGAGCAATATTATTCTGAAATGTGTTCAGAATTTGTAGATGCAATTTGTTTAGTGGTTTTTCTTGAAAGGCTTTTGGGAAATGTTCTTTTTATACCCAGTCACGATACTGACCTGCTGTAAATGAACCGAATTAACTGTAAAATGTTTCTCCAGCTGTTTCTTTTTAGAATCACTTAATTCTTCAGCCTTTTGTCGGCACTGTCCAAGCTTTTTGGAGGTGTGTCGCTAACATCAGATTCAAAATGAGCCAATATTTTTCTTAAAATTGTGGATTGCTGCAGTTTTAAACATTTCATAACTGTTCTATGATCTGTTGTGATTAAAATATGGGTTCGAACATTTGCAAACTACTGAATTCTCCTTTTATTTAGATTTTGAAGTTTACTAACTTTTTTTAAAATTGGAGTTGTATGATACATGTGAATGTAGCTATTATATAGCTATTTCACAATGAAGTGGCCTCAAGGCTATGTGCCAACAGAAGCCACATTGCTGTTTTACTGGATAAATCACTAATTAATATTTAAACACAGGAAGTTGGAGTTTGCTACTGCGAGTCTTAACATGCTGCATCTTTCTGTCTGTATCTTTTCGTAATTAAATGTCTTTATGAAAACAGTCATGACTTAGTGTTCGCTGCAAGCACTTTAATGCCGCTGTACATAAAGAATAAAAGAAGAGCAGAAATGACCTTTTATATTTATTTATATTCTTACAGATCAACTATAAATAAAGAGATTCAACACCTTTAGCTTATTTAGCTCGACCTGGACATTTCATCAAAGGATCCTGTTCCCCGGAGCTGCAGCGTGACAGACGTCTTTATGAGAGGAGACCGGATAACCAGGAGAGTGCTGAACTCTCTGTCGTCACTGAAACACACATAACCACACTTTGAACGCGTTACATAAAGCTAGCTGGGTATTTTTTACTGTTTACGATTTCAATAGTAAAAATTCTTTCGATGGTTTGCTGCATTACCCGGGAGTGAAGCTGATCTGAAGACACTGGCTGCTGCTGGTGACGCGGTGCTCCTTGGACCCGAGCAGTCCAAAGTCAGGTGTTACTCCGAACACATGGGAGTCCCCTTCAACTGACTCTGCACAGGGTGAATGACACGAGTAAGGCTGACATGCTATGCAAAGCAATTTGGGCTTCACATAGAAAGATAGATTTCTAGGCAACATAGAGGTTACTGATTGATTTGTGATTACTTGTAATAGATTTCCAGAACATGTGGGCTCCACAGCTGTACAGATTTACTTCTCTGGTTTGCGTCTGGCCCACATAGCAGAGCCCAAAGTCGACGCTGACAGCAGATAAACGCAGTGTTGGAAGATCCAGATGAGCGCAGAGTGGCACCGTCTGCACAGAGCAAATAGACTATGTGAGGTCATATAGCAGCTCCCAACCGAGCTGTTATACACGCATTGAACAGATGTCCCTAACCTGCAGGGTGTTGTTGCTGTAGTGAATCAGGAGATTCTGCTCGAACCTCAGCTTCATCTGCCCGTTTGCACCGTGGATCAGCTTCACCCCAGGAGGGATTTCCTCATCTGTCTGTTCCACATGGTCCAGAAGAGGCAGGGAACAGTGGAAGGCCACTTTCACCTAGTATTTAAACAAAAGAGGGCAACACTTACAAATAATTGTGTAAATCAAATTCTAATGATGCTGCTGCATCCATGACTCATCTCACCCGCATGCTGTGTTGTGGCTTAAGCACTAAAGACTGATTGTCCCCAGACGGAGGATTCCTGGAGGTGCTGGTCGGGCCTCTGGGTTTTGGTTTGACCACTGAAAACGGAGGCTGAGTCCCCAGGCTGAAGTGCAGGGGCATCTCTGAAGTGTTTTTCAGCTGGAAGCTTTGTGTGATGTCAAATTCACGCACTACTATCTGCAAAAAAAAAAGAAAAATAGACTGTTCAAAATTAACTTGGGACAAACATCTCATGTGTGCACTTGCATGTCAGAGCACTGGTGATTAGTGTTGTACACTTCTCAGACCTACCTCGTTGTTTGAGTTTGCCATCAGTAAATCACCGGCCGAAGCACAAAACTCCAGCACCCCATCGTCCTCCTCCGCCTGCACTAAAAGCCTGCAGCGACAGGAAGTCAAGAGGAAGATATGCAACTTAATCAGACCACCTCTGAGCTGCTTTTACCTAACCTCAGCTTATTTTAATTTAAGAAACATAAATCGAGCAGGATGCATTACGTGTCCGGGTGGGGATAAATAGCAGGAATATAATTGCTTACGCTGCAGTCTGAACGGCTGCTAGTAGATCCACTCTGACGGGCTCTAAATCCAAACCCTGAGCCCTCCCAACTTTACCGGGAACACAAGCAGCCAGCTGAATTACACACAACAATAAAGTATAAGG